TTTCGTAATTCACGTTATATTCGTGTTCATGTTCATTTATACTTTAGCAATACCTATAAATCAATAAGGTAATGCAAATAAATTTATCTATTAATTTTTAAGCTTATTTTAATTTCTAATAACTTTGAAGCATATGTTTGTTGCTATTCATTCGGTAGATGACCGTACATCTAAACAAAGTTATTTGACTTTAATCATATAATTAGTCGGACTAGCCGAAGGCGGTCCGACTTTAAATTTACCTTTTAGCCTATCAATCAATCTATCAATCTATCTATCTATCTATGTATTATGTCGCGTTTGGACCACCGGAAGTTAAGAATTTAATAATTAACTATTGGGTTGGCTGTGTTATTACATGACCGGAAGCTCAAGTTGTACGAATATCGTTAGTAAATGGTATATGCTACTTGGCTTTTATATGACAAAAAAACTATTCGTTTACAAATGTGGTATCTGTGATCTCATCGGAATGCGTCTGTTTAGGCATTAGAAGTATGCGCATGTGCAGATCGCATAGAGTTTCGARTTGTATGCTTACAAAACTGAATCAATATCCTTTCTAGTGTTAGACAGTCTTGTGGGGGCAAAGATTTCAAATTAGAACAAGAAGAAACTTTGTTTATCAATAACAGAAAGGCGAATTTAATGATTTTATAGGCATCTTTTTCCTTGTAAAGTTTTTATTTTCTTTGAGAACTCATTCAATATCACTTAGCGAGACATTTGTCTGAGCCTAGTTGATTTTATCAGTCAAAGCAAGCCACGTTATTATCGCGTTAATTACGTGACCTTTTAGGTCAAGTTTATTTAAAAGTCTCAATAAATTTTGCATATTTTGAACTAGACGCTCTTATTAGACCGTGAGTTGGAAAAAAAGTTAAGAAATATTTTTATCCATGTAATATCCTGTCTTTCTCAATTTTCACAAGCAGCTAGTCCGACTTCACGCTCCCAGAGCRTCTAGTTATCTATKAAATACCTATATTTCTTTCTTTTGAAAAGATGTTCTTTTCACTAGTGTAATAACATCTACATTTATTAATATATAAATACCGTATATGATAATTCTATAAAAAATTGAATATATGTAAAATATAAAAACTGCTTTCCAGAGTGCCAATATTGTGATCCAGGCATGATCACTGTCCCAAACAGCTAATATTACCCAATTAAACAGCAGTAAATACTGACTGTGGAAGAATGAACAAATTTTGTATGCATGTACCTTCAATTTAGGGCTGAAAATGTTGTTTCCATCATTTTTCAGGATAATTTATCACCATGTAAGAATCTGTCAGTTCTGTATCTATATGACAACCAAATTGCAAGAATTCAAAACCTTGGTTTTGCTACAAATTTGACTCACCTATACCTACAAAACAACAAACTTGCAAGAATAGAAGGCTTGGATCACTGCAAAAGATTATCAAAACTGTAAGACACATGACTTTTATGATTTGTCTAGTGAATATGAAAGTGATTGTCAGATAAAACTCTGCAGGGTGAAAWGATGTGRTTGGCCAATTTACTCTAAACATACAAACATTTATTAAGGTACCAGATAAAAGTAGGAATGGCAAAATATGAGGCTCAGTAGACTTATACTTTGTGAGATGGCCACCCCCCACTTTTGACCCCCGGGGTGGATTGGGGTGCAACCTAACAATTTKAAAAGGTCCACATTTTGTTATATAAATTGATTATGATTTAATTAAAATAGTTACATTATTTTGTTATAGATACCTAGGTAACAATGCCATTACAGTAATTGAAGGACTTGAAAAACTTGAAAAYTTAAGAGAACTTCATATGGAAAAACAAAGGCTTCCTCCAGGTGAAAAACTACTGTTTGAACCTAGATCACTGGAATGTTTATCAGTAAGTACTAGTAGAATAGAAAAGTTGACTGTTGATTATACAATAAGTAGCACACACCTTTGGAAACGTAGGTTTAATCTTCTGTGGCAAGAAGATTGTGTCTGGGTTCCTGAGGATGTACTTTACTCAAAACTAGACTTCAAATCACTTCATTCAGCTATAGTTAACAAAAGGTTTTAGTATTATACTAGACTCACTCACTCTTCCCAGTCTAAATTTACCATTTATGTCATGTACATGTAAATGTCTGGAAAGTATGTTTGGCACAGGTATACCAAAAGGCCACTGCTAGAGTTAGTTGATTTTGTTGAAGCTGGTGCAAACACTGTTTACAATKTTTAGCAATCAAAGTTACATATTTAAACAAACTCCACCTTACATTATTGGCATGCCCTGTCAATCATGTCAATCATGCTATGTAATGTCTCAAATGTTGTGACTGAACATTTAAGGCAACTTATCTTTAGTTGATTTTGTCTACAATCAGTTGATACTGCTAGACAACAAAAGTGCTTGCCAGACAACAAAAGTGCTTGCCCTTATTTAATTGCAATGAGATTTGTTTTTGCCCAAAAGTATCTTGAGCGATTAAAACTTTTGAATATCTAAAGATAAGATACATCCACGTTCAATCAAAGTGTTAATGGACATTTATTCAATTTACATTTTCAGAGATCTCTAAATGTGCTTAACATATCAGAAAATAATATTGATTCAATTGATGAGCTGAAATCACTCACAAGAATGACACAGTTCTTTGTTGAAAATAACTATCTGTGTGACATGAAGGAGATGTCTAGAGTTCTTGCTTGCTGGCCATCATTACTGAGACTAGAGACGTCTGGGAATCCATTTTGTACAAAGAAGAAGTTCAGAGATAGAATTATAGTAATGTCAAATTCTTTGGGTAAGTGTTTTTTGGCATGTTTCAGTTTGCATTAGACAATTTACAGAAAATTTGCAAAGAAAGTATACATGTATAGTAGAAATATATTTTTGGCTGCAACGGATAGTATTATTATCATGCATTGGATAAATAGGAAAGTCTGTCCAGATCTGGTTCCGTAACATGCATATTGTTATTTTTAAAACGTATGCATCTTATTATTTTTTGAACAGTCATGCTTGATGGGAAAGAAATCAATGATACTGCCAAAAGATTTCTTATTAACTGGAAAGCCACAAAAGATGCTAGACGGAAGCAGAAGAAACAGTTGCAATTTGAACATCCATCATCTAATTCCTTGTCAACTGTCCCCACTCTTCCGGCTTTGAARGGCTCTTCTCATTCAACCTTCCCTGGTAGTGGATATTTGACTGACGGCGTCAATTCCATGGTCAGATTGTCAGCTGCAGTGGAACCGAGTCCAACTGGCTATTTTGGAAATCCAAAAACTATGACAGCTTTAGTGCAGGCAAGGGCWCCACATTCGACCCTCTTGAGGCAAAGAGTACACCATTCCAATATATCTCAATCAAGGTAATAATACTTTCACAGATTTAAATACAAACTAGTTTCCACTATTTTTAAGTTGTCGTTTTGGCGATGTGTAAGATTTAAAGTTAGGGATTTCTACCTAAAACAATCAATCAAACATGATTTCACAAATGAATCCAGTATAGTACTGTGTGTTTGGGGGATGGGGAGACTTGTGTGCTTGAAATGAGGTGTTTATTGTTTTTTTTT